GTGTTGAATACGTAACTCGGCTTTTGTTGTCTATTCGTTTTGCGAGATTTTCACTACTTGCACTCTGCACTTGTCACTCCTTGACTTCGTACTATATGCTGACTCAACTGACTGTACAATGCGAACTATCAACTATCGTACTGCCAACAACCGACTCGGCCTGACTCTGAAAACTGGCTTGTTCTAATCGTGTCGGCCTTTTATACGGCCGACTTTATTATGTCCTTCCCGATCACGTGATAGGGAAGGTAGTTCAATTTGGGCAAGAGATAGCGTCGGGCAAGGTCAGTTTCATAAAGTAATATTTGCAATTACTTTGTGGGCCTAACGATATTGCCCATTGCGTTCCTCTACATTGTATTTTATGTGTTTTGTTAGCCTTGGCTGTAGGATCAAGGCCAGAGGGATGCATTCTTAGATCTACTCTTGGCCTTAATATCCTAAATAAACAAAGTACATGAGAAATTCTACAAATACGCAATGAAACGGTTAGTGGAACAATTTTGCATTGTTAAATTTAAAACGCAGAATATAAAATAACGAAATAATAAAATACTTATAATTAAAAAAAATAAGTAATATTAAAAATAATATAATAAATAACAAATAGATAATTAACAACCAAGATGACAGAATAATAATAACAATGAGTAAAACTAAGTAAAATAAAAGAATAATAGAAATAATAGTATAACAAAATGCTTGGTAGAAATAATAGTATAACACAATGACTTAGTAGACTTGAGCATAATAACAGTAATAATAATAATAAAAATAACAATATAATGATAACAAATATATTATAAATAAAATAATGCAAAATTATTTAAAATTATTTAATAAAATATTATAAATAAAATAGTGTAAAAACGTAACGACAATAAAGTAAATACATAAATCTATAAACTGAGTAAAATTTTACGAACATATTGATTGTTAACATACGTGTTAAATCTGAAAAAATTGAATTTAAATCTCTAGTAATAGTTAAACAAAAACGGTAATACCAATAACTACGCAATAGCAACAAATAACATAATAATAAAATAATAGTAAGAATAATGACAGTAACAATAATAGTATAATTAACAATGGGAATAATATAATAAAATAATAATATATATGTATAATAATAGTAATAATAAAATAGTAATTCTACAATTAAAATTAAATAATAAAGAAACAATCATAAAAACAATGTAAAAATATAAATAAATGATGAAGCGAAAGTACAAGTATGTAACTCAATATAAGAACTAGCAATATAATTCAACTTCTATCTTTCAACTTAGTAAAAACATAAATTCTACGATAATTAACCAACTATGAAAACATTAAGGTTGGG